CGCTCTATCTCGCCCTCTATCTTCATCGGTCTCTATCTCGCTCTCTATCTTCATCGCGCTCTATCTCACTCTCTATCTTCATCGCTCTCTATCTCGCCCTCTACCTTCATCGCTCTCTACCTTCATCACGCTGTATCTCGCTCTCTATCTTCATTGCTCTCTATCTCACTGTATCTCTCTGTCTCATTCTCTTTGACTGCCTCTTTCTCTCTCTGTCTTTGTCTCTCCATCTCGCTCTCTCTGTTGCTTGCTCTCCCTGCCGTTTCATTCTATGTGTGTTTCCCTCTATCTGTCTGTCTCTCTCTCACTGTTGCATGCTCTGTCTCTCCCTCTCTTTCTCTGTCTCTCCCTCTCTGTTTCTCCTCTCTCTGCCTGTTCTCTGTCTGTCTGTCTCTCTCTCTGTCTCCTCCCCAACCCCTCTACAGTCCCTGCTGACAAGTGGGAAGCATGGATGGATTTCTTTCTCCATCTGATCCCAACCGATGCTGCGGGAATAGGGGTGAAAATGCAGGAGATCAGCACTTAGTTAAAAGAGCTCGGCGAGCTGGAGCAGCCTCGATGGGCCGAAAGGCCTTGTGCCGCACTGTAACAGTTCTGTTATTCTACTCATACTGTGTCTTGCTCACTGTCTTTGACCCTGTTTAACCCTGCGATTCTCTTCCTGTTTCTCCCAACAGTGCGGCAGTATGCGGACATCTGTCTGTTCAGCACAGCCCAGTACAAATGCCCAGTAGCGCAGGTCGAAGCTGAGTGAGTATTGTTGAGTTAGTACTCTCTTTCCGTCTTGCAGTTGTTCGTGAGCAGCGTCAGTGGGCTCAAGCCCTGCAGAAACCACCCAGCACAGCTCAGCGGGCAGGCAGTCTGAGAATTGGCCGCATTAATTTGGGACAGGAGTCACGTACGAGTGCAGAAATGGTCACGTTGGGCGCCGTTCCCTTCTGTAGTTCCCCCAAGCAATGTGGCTAAGGCCGGCATTTGTCACCTCCTTCCCTACTTGTCCCTTGAGCAGCTCACTAGCGACCAGTGAAGCGGTCAACTGCGTTAGCTGCAGGATCTGGAGTCCTGTGTGGGTCGGATCGGGAAAGCACCAGGCAGATTTCCTTCCCTAATGGGACGCAAGTCTGTCTCCGCAGACATATTCTTACGGAATTATTACAGGCGAGTAGACTAGTTTGTGAACATTCAACAGCTTTTACCTAATGCCCTACAACTTCTGTTCCCCACTCCACAACTCAGATTCTCAAATGAGCGATTGCTGGGTTTGAAGGTCCCAGAGGGGGCTCAGCTCTTAGGACCACCCCATAGAATCCCTGCAGTGCGGAAGCAGGCCATTCAGCCCGGCGAGTCCACACTGGCCTTCTGAAAAGCATCCCACCCTGACCCACCCCATCCCTGTAACCCTGCATTCCCCACGGCTAACCCACCTAGTCCACACATCCCTGGGCACTATGGGACAATTTAGCACGGCTAACCCCCCTCGTCCACACATCCCTGGGCACTATGAGACAATTTAGCATGGCCAATCCACCCTAACCTGCACATCGTTGGACTGTGAGAGGAAACCGGAGCACCCGGAGGAAACCCACGCAGACACGGGGAGAATGTGCAAACTCCACACAGCCCAAGGGTGGAATTGAACTCAAGTCCCTGGTGCTGTGAGGCAATGGTGCTAACCACTGAGCCGCCATGCCGACCCTAAGCCACTATGTTGATTCAGCAGGTATCTCTCTCGCTGTCTCCCCTGAACTTCCTAGTTGTGTGATGTGTGTTTGTCAATTCCTTGTGGTTCTCTTCCCCAGTGATCAGGTGTCTGCCAGTTCGACCGTCTGTAAGGTCTACACACTGGTCCCCCTCCTAGACCATAACCGCGAGAAGCGAGGCTTGGCTCTGGATGGGAAACTGAAACATGAAGACACCAACCTGGCCTCCAGTACCATGTAAGTCATCCTCCCACTATCCCTGCTCTATTCCACCTCCAATGCTCTTCCTCTCTGTGTCATACCCTCCCTGTCTTGTGCTCACGCTCGCACACTCGCTCTCATGCACTCATTCCCCCCTTGCTCTGTCTCACATCCGTGCTCTTTGTCACACGTGCTCGCTCACGCTCTTTCGATCTTGCTGCCTCTTGCATTCTCTTGCGCTGTCGCTCTCGCTCTCTCGCGCTGTCGTTCTCTCTCTCTCTCACGCTATCATTCTCTCTCTCTCTCTCTCTCTCGTGCTGTCGTTCTTTCTCTCACGCTGTCGCTCATTCTCTTGCCCACTCTTATAGTCTCGCGTTCCCTCATGGTCTCTTTTTGCTGTCTCGTTCATGCTCTCTCTTATGTGCTCTCACACTCTCTCATTCTCTCATGCCCTTATTCTCTCTCTCTCTCGCACCCTCACTTTTTCCCACTCTTTCTCTCTTGCACCCTCACTCTCTCTCTCTCGCGCCCTCACTCACTCTCTCGTGCCCACATTCTCTCTCTGTCTCTCGTGCTGTTTCTGTTCCCAGTGAATACTCTCCCCTTTGCATTTCTCTCTCGCTCCCGCATCTCTGCCGTGCCTGTCTCTCCATGTTGCCCCTCAGTTAGCCCCTCGCTCTATAATTTATTCCACTGAGCTGTTTTGCTTCAGTCAAAGGAAGTCGTGTTGCTGAAGGTTTCCTTCCTGAACCCATCAGGACAAAAATGCAAGAAAGCCAAATTTCAAACAATTTTTCCTTTCATTTATTCACTGTGTATGGGTACCACTGGCTGGACCGTCTGGAGTCACGTACAGGCCAGATTTCCTTCCGTAAAAGGACATTAGTGAGCCGGGTGGGGGTTTATAACAATCTATCATGGCCGCTGTTGAGGGTAACTTTTATTATTCCCGATGTTTACCTGGTGCTGTGGTGAGATTCGAACCCGTGTCTTGACGTCATTGGCCTGAGGATTTGCATTACCGTAGCAATCCAGTGACATTACCACAACGGCACTCCCTTCCTCAAATTTATACCACAGGGGAAAAGAAAAACTGCCAACAGGTTGACTGTGACCATCCAAGGTAATACCATGCAGAAAGCAGTGGGGAACCGCGGGTTGACCAAGTTTATAGAATCGTAGAATTTTACAGTACAGAAGGAGGCCGTTTGGTCCATCGTGTCTGTACTGGCTCCCAAAAGAGCTACCGAGCCAGTCCCACTCTCCAGCCGTATGTCCGTAGCCCTGTAATGTCATCACTTCCCAAGGTATATCCATTTCTCTTTGGGAACCTCCAGTGGAATGTGCCTCCACCACTCTCCCAGGCAGTGCATTCAAAATCCTAACAACTCCTCTGCATCAAGAAAATTTCTCCTCATCTCACTCCGAGCCGTCTTGCTGACAATCTGGAAATTGCGACCCACCACCCCTTCCTAGTCTCTGACATGTCAACTAGTGGAAAACAAATATTCTCCTTTACCCTGTCAAACTGTTCAAGATTTTGAATACACCACCTCTATACGCGGGGACTGATGTTCCGCAAACAAAAGCAATATGTTCAAGGTGTTGTGCCTTCCTTGAGTTTCCTGGGACCGCGGGGAGCTTGTTTGTTTACTTCATGGCAACATCTTAGCCTATCAGAGATGACTTGCCAACCAATCAGCACTCTTTTCCCCAAACGGTATAATTTTCATCATAGTGTGAAATCTGGTGGGTTCACCGGTGTTTATATAAATGATTTGGATGTGAATACAGGAGGCATGGTCAGTAAGTTTGCCAATGACACCAAAGTTGGTGGCGTAGGGGACAGCGAAGAAGGTTGTCTCAGAGTACAACGAGATCTTGATCAGCTGGGCCAATGGGCCGAGGAGTGGCAGATGGAGTTCAATTTAGGTAAATGCGAGATGTTGCATTTTGGTCAGGCAACCCAGGGCAGGACTTACACAGTTAATGGTAGGACCCAGGGGAGTGTTGTCGAACAGAGAGACCTAGGGGGTGCAGGTACATAGTTCCTTAAAAGTGGAGTCGCAGGTAGACAGGGTGGTAAAGAAAGCATTTGGTACACTTGCCTTCATTGGTCAGAACATTGAGCATAGGGGTTGGGATGTCATATACAAGCCATTGGTGAGGCCACTCTTGGAATACTGCATTCAATTCTAGTTGCCTTGCTGTAAGAAGGTTGTTATTAAATTAGAAATGGTGCTGAAAAGATTTACCAGGATGTTACCAGGACTGGAGGGTTTAAATTGGAAGGGTTTAAGTTATAAGGAGAGGTTGGATTGGCTGGGGGTATTTTCCCTGGATCATAGCAGGCTGAGGGGTGACCTTATAGAGATTTATAAAATCATGAGGTGCATGGATAGGGTGAATAGCAAAGGTTTTTTTTCCCCAGGGTAGGGGAGTCCAAAACTAGAGGGGCATAGATTTAAGGTGAGAGGGGAAAGATTTAAAAGGGACTCAAGGGGCAATTTTTTCACACAGAGGGTGGTGTGTGTAGGGAGCTGCCAGAAGAAGTGGTGGAGGCTGGTACAATTACAACATCTAAAAGGCATCTGGATGGGTACGTGAATAGGAAGGGTTTAGAGGGATATGGGCCAAATGCTGGCAAAAAGGACTAGATTAATTTAGGATATCTGGCCAGCATGGACGAGTTGGACCAAAGGGTCTGTTTCCCTGCTGTACGTCTCTATGACTCTTCAGATGGAAATCTTTTTGTACAGGTCTGCCTCCCTCTTTCTATCTATCTCTCTCTCTCTCCCTCCCTCCCTCCCTGTCTCTCCAGCAATTTGTTACTTCGACGGTACAGAGTTATCTAATGAACCCGAGGCTAGATCTGAAATGTTGGCCGGTTTTGTCTTTCAGAGTAAAGGAAGGGGCCAACAAGGAGGTGCTAGGAATCCTTGTGTCGTATCGGGTGAAAGTGAAGCTGGTGGTGTCACGTGGAGGGTATGTCGCAGAGTCACCGGCTGCAACCCCATAAGGAGCGGGAGTAGATCATTCAGTCTATTGGGTCTACCCCCTCCCCTTCAATGAGATCGTGGCTGATCTGATCATTCACAACTCCACTGTATAAGCCTGATTTCCCCTTCCTGATTTAAAATCTATCTCGGCCTCGAATGTACTTGATGACCCAGCCTCGATAGCCCTCCGCGGTAAAGAATTCCACTCCCCTCTGAGAGAAGAAATCCCTCCTCAACTCCGTCTTCAGTGGGCGACCCCTTATTCTGAGATGATGCTCCTCTGGTCCTGGACTCTCCCATGAGGGGAAGCACCCTCTCCACATCTACACTGTCCAGTCCCCCTAAGACTCTTCTACATCTCAAAAGGTCACCTCTCATTCTTCCAAACTCCAGTGTTGCTACTCAACCTCATCAGACAGTGCCTCCATGCCTGGGATCAGCCAAGGGAACCTCCCTTGGATTGGAATCAGGCCGTGATCTTATTGAAGGGCGGAGCGGTCTTGAGGGGCTGAATGGCCTGATTCTTAAGGTTTGTTGTGACCCTTCGAGCAGTTCACGGGAATTGGGTGGACTGAGCAGTCTTATCTGTAGACTACACCACATGTGCTCTTTTTTTCCCAAAGCTCTGGACAGTTTGTGTCTTGAATATGTGAGCCCTTTATTAACCCCAGGTCAAAATCCTGGAACCCTGTCCCTGGCAGCGTTGCATGGGTGTCCCTACAGCGCAGCAGTTCCAGAAGACAGCTTAACCCCACCTCCTCAAGGGGCAACTGGGGGCGGGAGACGGAAGCTGTGACCTTGCCAGTGATGCCCACATCTCTCGAAGGAATATGAATGAAGATGTTTGTGCTGTGGTTGGGAGGAGGTTGGTGGGACAATCCAAGTTAAGGTGGCCGCTAATGATTTCCAGAGAAGCTCGGAGAGTTAGATGGGTCACTAGGCACCGCAGGGGCGTGTTTTGAGGGGAGCGATGTGGATCCATTTCAGGGGAAACATGTGAGACAGACAGGTATGGAGCATCAGCGCCAAGTACAAGCCTGATGGGTTGAATGGCCAGTTTCCCAATGGAATCACAGAATCCCTATAGAGGCCATTCAGCCCACTGAGTCTGCACCATCCGTCAGAAGAGCATCCCACCCAGACTTAGCCCCTGTACTCTATCTCCATTACCCTTGGCTAACCCACAAGACCTGCACTTCCCTGAACATTAAGGGGGCCATTTAGTATGGCCAATCCACCCTAGCCCGCACACCTTTGGGCCGAAGAGACTTACCAGACCACCACCACACCCCGCCTCCCCCATAGGGTTGCCCTCTCATTGGAGAGAGATCGACACCCGTGATGGGTTGACCCAAGCCGCAGGCGAGAGGAGAGGTTGAAAAGGGTCCTTCGCGGTAACCTGAGTGCGGGTGATTGAACCCCCCCACGCTCTTGGCATCACTCTGCGTCGCAAACCAGCCTTCCAGCCATCTGGGCTGAACAAATTCCACCCCCCAATCCCGCAGCCCCATTCCGTGTGCTGGATTCTCTGTCGTCTGACGCTCTCCATCTTTTTTTTTAGGGACGTGTCAGTGGAGTTGCCTTTCATCTTAATGCACCCTAAGCCCGTTGAGCAACCCATCTCCAGACCTCAGTCGGGTAAGGTCGTTTCCTCCCCCCCCGCCACCCACCCACCCAGCTTTGACCCTTCGGCCAATTTGCAGCCGGGACCACCTGTTAATCCCTGGGGGTGGGGGACATCGTGCGGGCAATTCCCCGGAGCTGTCGAATAACGTGCTAGGGGGTGGGGGTTGGTAGGGAGTTGCCGGTGGTGTTGCTGTGATCTCTCAGAATGGTACAAAGTTCCCAGGAGGGCTCGGACTCTGACCTCGTTGACCCATCATTAAGGGGCGGATCGTTCCAGGGCAATTATGTCTCCTCTCGGGAGGCTGGGTGTCCGGTGTTTGGAGTTTTGGAGTTCTCTACCCCGGAGGGCTGCGGATTGTTCGGCTCTGGGAGCCGGGGATCTCAGCAATAAGGGGAAGTAAGAGGGCGACCGGAGCTGAGGTCAGAGATTGGCCGCGGTCTTGCTGAACGATGAACTGGTTCGAGGGGGCCGAATGGCTTCCTGGTGTTTTGTCTTTCGGTCAAGGCAGTGGCGATGTCGTGGAAGGCAGTAGTTTGTCGTGGGGCTTCCATCTGCTGTGTGACTCGAAGGGTTTTATTCCCGTCTTTGTTTCCATCCTCCAGTCCTGCCAGATTCTGAGGCTCCAGTCGATACAAACCTGATTGAGTTCGAAGCCAAGTAAGTTGTTACCTTTCTGCAATATGTTTCCAGCCCGATGGAGTGGAATGTTAAAAATAAATCCCTTCGTGGTCCTCCCCCATGCCCCCATCCCTCTGAAATGTTTTCTCCGATCTGCAGTCTTGTGCGTTCCTCATGATAATCATCCCGACTGTGCCTTCAGATCTGTTTTTATGGCTCTGTCATGGGGTGCAGGAGTCTTGGCTGGGCCCAGCATTTATTGCTCATCCCTAGTTGCCCCTGGAGAAGGTGGGGGGGGAGCAAATGTCTGTTAAACATTGTGACTGTACCCACTTCCTCAGGAAGTCCATTTTACACACGAACCACACTCTGTGTGTAAAAATACATTGCCCCTCGTGTCTTTTTGAAATCTTTCTCCTCTCACCTTAAAAAAAAAATGCCCCTTTAGTTTTTAAATCCTCCTCCCTAAGCAAAAGACACCCGCTAGTCACCCTATCTGATATCCCTCATGATGTTATAAATCTTCATAAAGTCACCCCTCAGCACCAGTGGAAAAAGTCCCAGCCTATCCTCATATTTCAAACATCTCTTACCAGTAACAGAAATTACTGGAGAAACTCAGCACGCCTGGCTGCCTCTATGGAACGAGAAAGCAGAGTTGACATCTTTGAGTCGAGTGACCCTCCTTCAATTCTGCTTGTCTTTTTTTTCTCTCTCATCCCAATTAAAAGCCCCTTCTGACTTTTGTACTGGACCTCTACGCCCCTCTATCCCCCTCAGTCCTCGCCGAACTCCATTCATCAAGCCCTTTCAGTTCTGAAGGAGAAACATCCTGGATGCGAAACGTTGACTCTGTCTTCCACTCTGTACAGACACTGCTGGACCCTGCTGAGTTTCTCCAGTGATTTCTGTGTTTGTTTCAGGTTTCCAGCATCCGCAGTTTTCTCTCTAGCCCGTTATCTGGGTCCTGGAGACTGAGGCGATGTGAGGGTCTCTTGGAATTATGACCTTTGTTTTTCTGTTACAATTCTGGTTTGTGTGCAAGCATCCAAAGGTGCTGTAATGTGTGAGCACACAGCAGTGTTGCAACGGTCAGAGAGTGTTGTGAGCGTGGAAGAGTCACAGAGGGCCCTTCGGCCCAACTTGTCCATGCAGCCCAGTTTTCACAATTAAACTAGTCCCATTTGCTTGTGTTTGGCCCATATCCCTCCATACCTATCCCATCCATGTACCTGTCCAAATGTTTCTTGAGTGACGAAATTGTACTCACTTCCACCCCTACTTCTGGCAGCCCAGTCCTGACACTCACCATCCCACTCTGTGTGAAGAAACTGCCCCTCTGGACCCTTTCTTATGTATCTCTACTCAAGAGGGAAGAGAGACATTGTTGGGGGGTCGGAGAGGGCGGGGGGGAGGGGTGGTCAGAGAGAATTGGTGGGTAAGAGGGCCGTGGGGGGTCGGAGAGGGTATGGGGGCGTTGGAATGGGATGCCGGGGAGGGGGGGTGGGTGG